GTCTTAAAACTCAACTTTCAAAAGACAAAGATAATGGAATCCATTCCCATCACTTCATGGCAAATAGATGGGGAAACAATGGAAACAGTGAGAGACTTTATTTTTGGGGGCTCCAAAATCACTGCAGATGGTGACTGCAGCCATGAAATTAAAAAGACACTTGCTCCTTGGAATAAAAGCTATGACCAACCTAGAGAGCATATTAAAAAGCAGAGACATTACTTTGCTGACAAAGGTCCATCTAATCAAAGCTAAGGTTTTTCCAGTAGTCATGTATAGATGTGAGAGTTGGACTATAAAGAAGGCTGAGTGCTGAATAATTGATGCTTTTGAGCTATTGTGTTGGACAAGACTCTTGTGAGTTCCTTTGCTTGCAAGGAGATCAAACCAGTGAATCCTAAAGGAAATCGACCCTGAATATTCATTGGAAGGACTGATGCTGAAGCTGAAGCTCCAATACTTTGGCCACCTGATAAGAGCCGACTCATTAAAAAAAGACCCCGAGGCTAGGAAAGATTGAAGGCCGGAGGAGAAGGGGAGGACTGAGGATGAGATGGTTAGATGGTATCACTGACTCAATGGATATGAGTTTGACAAGCTCTGGGAGATGATGAAGGACAAGGAAACCTGGTGCGCTGCAGTCCATGGGGTCGCAGAGAGTTGGTCACGACTGAGCGAGTGAACAACAACAACAGATAGTTCGAGGTAAGAGTCTCAGTTGAAAAATACTGACAGGAAAAAGAGCCGCGGATGAGAAGCACAGTCCTTCTTGTGAATTTCTCATTTAAGTACCCCAACTGACTTCTATGATTGATTCTATCCGGTTGCTGATGTTAATCAATTTCCTATTTTTGACTCCTGTTGATTTTTCTCTTAGATTTATCTAGAATCTGTTTACCTGTTTATCCTGAGCATCACCACCATAGTCCAGGCAACTACTAATCTCTCTCATAGGCAATTTTAATAATTAGTCTCCTCATATCAACATGTGCCCTCTGTGCCCCAGAGACAAAGTTGAGAATAGAAAATTTGGTCAAGTCACTACCTTGCTTAAAACTCTTCTTCAAAAGATGGGAAAGACTTCTACTCAAAATTATAATCTCATATTTTATTATAGGTTTTATTAATGACAACATATTTATTAATGACACATAATGACAACATTATGGGTGCTTTATTTATTGGGTGCTTATTATGTGCTGAGAACTGCTTTAGGTGCTTTCTCTATATTAACTCATCCTTATATAATCCTATGACTATGTGCTCCAAAATATTTTTTAAATGCATGCATGCATGCATGCATGAATGAATGAGCGGCAATGTGAATGAAAGCCCTTAGGGTGAGAGTATCTGCAATTCTACAGCTGTATACTTTAAGAAATATCTGTTTACTTCGAGGGTTTTTTGACAGTGATTTGAATACACTGAGATCATGTGCTGTGTGCTGCGCTCAGCGGCTTCAGTCTTGTCTGACTCTTTGCGATCCAATGGACTGTGGCCCGCCAGGTTCCTCTGTCCATGGGATTCCCCAGGCAAGAATATTGGAGGGTTGCCATGCCCTCCTCCAGGGGATCTTCCCGATCCTGGGATCAAAACTGGGTCTCCTGTATTGGCAGCCAGGTTCTTGATCTCTGAGCCACTGGGGGAAGCCCCTACTGAGATCATACTTATAAATAATAAAAAGTCAAAGCTTTCAGGGAAGTGTTATGCAGGAAAGGTCTGAATCCTCAAACTTGGATAGCTCTTATAAGAAAATATGCTTATTAGTAATTTGATAGCATGGAACTAAAAGCCATATTTGGTGTAAGCATGTATATTCTTATATAGATAAATGATTAAGATGATACTCCCAGCTGGAGTTATTTCTCCTAAGCCTTAGTTGGCGCTCTGTGACTGTACGCAATTTTGACTACAGAAAGTAGATCTGAAAGATGTTGTTTAATATATTTGGTTCAGAAAATCAAACCAGGACATTGGAAAGAATATCATCAATTAAAAATCCTAAAAAGCATAAGTTCTTATTAGAAATTATTTAAGGTGGTCAATGTCTTGGGTCCAAAGCCATCAGTGCATCCCAATCTATGATGTTTGTGGTTCTAACCACAAACTTAGTGATGCCACGCAATCAACACTTTTTGAATTAAAATAAAGAATAACAATTGTTCTTGAACCGTTCATTTCCATAAATCTTCTACTCTAGTCTAGTAGAGTCCAGTCAGAGGTCATTACATACCCATCATAATAGATTTCTTCAAGTGAAAGTGCTGAGTCGAGCGGTCTATGCATTTAACCTTTACTGGGCAAAAGTATATCAATTTTAAAAACAAAGAAAAATTTACACTCCCACCAATAATATACAGTGTTCTTAAGATTAAACCATTTCTCCCTTTAAATGTTTTCTTTGCTCAGTTTTCCTATACAGATCATTCCAAGAGGAAAGTATACCACCTATATTTATTTACTGCATGAGAATTACTCATTCTAAAGTCATGCAAACATGACTGTTTCATTTTTTATCTTCTTTTTATTTTTTTTCCAGTCTTATTGAGAGGCAATTGGCATAAAGATTTGCATAGTTTAGGGTTTTACAGTATTATTTGACTTATATACATCATGAAATGATTACCACAATGTTTAGTGAACATCCATCATCTCTTACATATATAAAATTAAAGAAACAAATCATTTTTGTAATGAGAACTCAGGATTTACTCTCTTAATAACTTTCATGTATGTGGTATACTGTATTTTTCATATTTATTGTAAAGAAATGGGAAATGTATGTAGATACTTTTAATAACAACAAAATCAGTAAGGGGTCTGCAGATATATTTTATAAAATCATTCAGACTATACATACATACTATAACTACTGTCAACTGCTCACAAAACCCAATATGTTTCTCTTAAAGAAACTACATGAGAAATAATTGCTTTGCATATTGAGTGACTTCTAGAAGACATATAAAATTTGGTTCTGCTTTTAAAAACTTATCACTTTGTGATATGAACAATATTAGGTTGTACACTTCTCTCACTCCACTACAATTTTATCTTAAATTGGTAGGTGAAAGAAAATGTTTTATTTTTATCTACCTATATTGATAGGTAGATGATAATAATTTAGATGGATCAGTAAGATTAATAGATTGATGACCACAAATTGCCATGCAAAGAAATATACTACAGCAGTAAATATTTTTATTGAAATTTTAAAAGTTGATATGAGGAAAGCTATTTAATTATGTAAATCATTAAAAACTTAGTTACTTCTTTTCTGTATCAGAACTTCATAAGATTTTTTTATTCATATTCTCTGGCTGAATTTCTACCTTTAGGTGATCTGACAGTGTATCAATCTTATTCTCAATCTAAATTGCTGCATCTAAATCAGACATCAAATCTAAAAAGTATTCTGTTTCTCAAACAATAGTAGTTTTTTAATAATTTGTTAAGAGGTAACTGAGCCAAAAACACTGTACTTAAAATATCTTTCAAGAGAAACAAAAGTAGAGCATGCAGAATTCTAGCAATGGTCTACCATCTTTCTAGCAGTTGAGGTCAGATATCCAAAGAAAATAAAAATCTCTATATACAGAAAGAGTCTATGTTAAGGTTAACTTCTTTTAAGACACCTTTAAATCTTCCTTAGAACATAAAGACTGTTAAAAAATAGTAAAGTGATAAACACATAAAACATTCATTTCCAAAGGCAAGTGAATATCACAATTTGCAACCAGAAAGACATAATTACATATGTCTTCCTCACTATTGTAATAAGAAGGCACCATAAATTCTGTTAAATGAGAAACTCCAAGTGATCCCAAGTGGAATTAAGTGTATCAATGTAATGTTTTAATTTCATATAGGAGTACCTGACTTAATAAATGATTTACCCTTTGATTTGAGACTTATATCTGTTTAGTTGAGGCTGAAGGAATATCATTTTTTGTTTTTAAAGCTATTTGATCAATATATTTTAAAGGGGTTGCTAGCCTTTCCAGCCACTAAAATGAAGTAAAAAAAATTTGAAACACTTTGTTGTTTGTTGTTGTTTAGTCACTAAGTCATGTCTGACTCTTTTGTGACCCCGTGGCCGATAGCCTGCCAGGCTCCCCTATCCATGGGATTTCTCAGACAAGAATACTGGATATGGTTGCCATTTCCTTCTTCAGGGGATCTTCCCGACCCAGGGATTGAACTCACGTCTCCTGCATTGGCTGGCATGTTCTTTACCACTGAGCCACCTGAGAAGCCCTAAAAGGGAATCACAACCACGAAGGAATGTGGAACTCTACTGATAAATTTATTAATTGACCTGTCCAGTCATTCAATTTTTAATTAATTCAATTGTGCATTCTTCAGTCCATGGATAGCTGATGTATCCATTCATCCATTTCTCTATCTATTCATCTATCACATAGGGTGTATACGGCTAAACTTAGCAAGTTATTAAACCTGAAGCTGACGATTAAAACACTCTTCCAGCACCTTTTCTCACTTTCTATTGCTCTTCAAGAACCCTACTAGTGAGAGGAAAAATTATTTTCTGCTTAAATGAATGAGGAGATACTTGTGGAACATGGTGAAGATTAATTGATAGACTATCCAAATGATAATAAACTATATCAGACATGTACATCATGGAAACTGATAGAATATCCAGATAATAGGTGTATCAGATATGTACATCATGGAAAAGCTTAATTACTGATGAAAGTTCATTTCACTTAGAATGTAGATGTCACTGAGTCATATATGATATAAAATAGCTTCTCAGTATTCCTGCTTAGATTCTGTATCAATATATGCTTCCAATTTCCAGAGAAGTATCATCAAAATTGTGTCTAATAACTCACTTTTCCTGAAGCATGCATTTCCACCATTAAGTCTGGATGCCTAGCAAGCTCTTACTCATCTCTCATATTTTAGGAAAGTTATAAGTAAACAAAGAAGTTACCAGAATTAGGTTAAGGAAGGGTACCATTATAAAATCTCACCTGTATCTTGTGCAAGTAGTGTTCTGACCTAAAGGAGATATTGGCTTAAAAGTGATGGGTGGAGAAACCTGGGCTGATAGCAGAAATCCCAAAGCAAGAATAATGAGGGCTACAGTGGTACCTAAAAAAAACAAAAGTTTTACATCAGAGAAAAGTTGACAACATTCTTTCAAAGCAGACTGGGTTTAGCAAGTTATCTCTCTGAAAAAAATACCTTGATCTATCTTCATTGGATTAAAAAAAAGATCCTCATACATAAGTATTGTCATGCATAAGTATTGTCATTAAAAACTCACTAGCACGTTCACTGTGAGAAATGACAAGAGTGAAATTCAAATCAAATACATTTGTGAGCCAAGCACTGGTAATAACTTTCTAAACAAACACTATTTTGGATTGCTGACAGTCTCAAAAAGAATTAATATAACTGACATTATTGAGTGCCTAACACGTCAGGAAGTATAAAAGGCAACAGATTTATATCAAGTGCTCCTTTCATTACCAAGAGAATTGTTCTAATGTTATTCGATCATCTAGGACCCAAATGGTAGTAGTTCAGTCACTCCATCATGTCCTACTATTTGCGACCCCATGGACCGTAACAAGCCAGGCCTCCCTGTCCATCACCAATTCCCTGAGCTTGCTCAAACTCATGTCCATCATCTCAGTGATGCCATCCAGCCATCTCATCCTCTGTCGTCCCCTTCTCCTCCTGCCCTCAATCTTTCTCAGTGTCAGGGTCTTTTCCAGTGAGTCAGTTCTTTGCATCAGGTGACCAAAGTATTGGAGCTTCAGCATCAGACCTTTCAATAAATATTCAGGGCTGATTTCCTTTAGGATTGATTGGCTGGATCTCCTTGCAGTCCAAGGGACTCTCAAGAGTCTTCTCCAACACCATAGTTAAAAAGCATCAGTTCTTCGGTACATAGCTTTCTTTATGGTCCAACTCTCATATCCATAAATAACAATTGGAAAAACCACCATATCTTTGACTAGACGGACTTTTGTTGGCAAAGTAATGTTGGCAAAGTACGATCCAAATAATAAACTAAAAAGTAACAAACTAAATATTTCAAAAACAGGTGAAAGAGAATCTCATAAAAAGGAGTAACATTGTGTAAAGACTTAAAAATCTCAGAAATGACATAACAGATATATTCAATTCTTTTTCCTGTTGGCATTTGGAAGTGGAATGTTTGTCTTTGATTTTAGGGTACAGATGTGATTTTATATACAATGACTTAAAAAGATATAACATATATATATATATAACCACTAACGGATATATATACACACACACACACACACACACACACACACACACACACACACATATATCACTTAAAAAGCTCATTTTTGAGTCCTTTATAGAAATACTGACAGGAAACAAGAAAGTTTTCAAATTTCTGACAATTGTTCCAGCCATTGTGAGGATTAAAAAAAAAGGTCATGGGAAGAAAGAAGAAAATATGGATGCACTTGTTTGTATAATTTACTTGAATGAGGCAATTTAAACAAAATATGGAACTCAGGGTAGTCATTTATGTAGCAGCAAAGTTTCTATTAGATAAATGAGAAAGTTATTTAAGAATGATGAAATGTATATTTCAAATGGATAAAAAAACAACTTTGGGAAGCACTGTTAAAGTGGAACTGGATTATATAATAGTTGAAGTGTTTATGTTTATTACAGAGGTGATATGTCAAGTTAGATACTGTGGTTAAGTTCTCACCCTGCTGTTTCTTGACTCCATGATCTTGGACAATGCACATAACCTTTCCAACATTCAATTCTGTCTGCTGTAAAATGGGGCTTGGTGATAATATTCATCTTGCAGAATTGCAGTGAATTTTAAATATCACAATACATCTGAAAGATTTTTCTAAAGCTAAAAATGTTAACTATTGTACTATAATTATTAAATACAGCAGCAGCAGTATACTTTCCAAATCTAGAAGAAAGTTGAGAAGGAGGGAGATGGCTTGAAGAAAAGATCAGAAGCCTATTTTACCACACCAGGCTGAAGAGTCATGAATATACAATCACAGTTCATTTTCCCCTTGTTGGCTTAAAATTCAAACTAGAACTAGAACTAGTTTGAGGTATTATTTTCTCAAAAGACTGCCAATTCCTGAATTGGGAAACAAAAAACAAGTCTCTCTCTCAAAAAGAGAAAAGATATACTGGGCATGTAAATAAAAGTCATCCCTCTCTCCTCAAACAAAGCAAAATAAGCCACAAGGTTTACTGTTAATCTGTCTATCAAAGAAGCTGGGCCCTAAGTATCTTCCAAAATTACCTCCACAGAATATTGTCATGGCACAGGTAAGATTTGCTTCAATCAGGAAATGTTGATATTTTAGGATGGGAAGGAAACATGGCACTCTTCTTTCATAGCACGACTTAAAATAACTGGTCTCTGTGATAAACTGTAAACTTTAAGGTAGTATACCTAATGCATATTAACATATATTCAAGTCTAGTGCCTGGTATAGAGCAGATCTCACAGTACTACAGATTTTTGCAATGCTGAGTATTTTCTAAGAAAATAACAAAACATATTATGACTATTCAATTGAGGTCGTGGGTTAGTATGGGGGAAATATCCCAGATGAGAGTTCTGCAGTATAGATATTATATCTCTTGGATCCATCTCTAAAAAGTCCAACCAACTTGCAAAATTTGGGGAAAAGACCATTTTGGATATACAAAATTCCTAGTTGAAGGTTTACATTTCTTAAACACAAATCTATTTTGACCTACTATGGATGGAAATATTTTAAAAGTCAGTATCACACCTTTATTATAGTCTTGTTTCTCAATCCTGGCTTCCTATTGAAAATGCAACTGTTTAGAATGTACCTCAACCTCTGAATCAGTCTCCATAAAATGGGGATCAGATAATATGATTTCATAGGTGATTGTGATAGCCAACAACAGAGTAAAAACTCTTATCTTATGAGATGATAAACTCCTTAAGGGAAGGGAATGGTGTCTTAAATGACTTAATTTATGGAGTAAATTTTAAAATGGTCACCTCGTCCTATCATATGTTCATGGCTCTTTAAGGCTTAAAACTACCCGAACTACCTATTTCCTTTCCCTTAACAAATCACAGCTGCTTTATCAGTGACTCAATGGCATTTTTAAAGTTGTTACAGTTTTCAATGGTTCAATGGTTGTCAATGGACTCAATGATTCATTGAGTCCAATGCAGGAAGGCCTTGTATGAAAGGATCTCCAATGTAATGGGCAGTTTGGGCACATTCTTTATATTATAAGAAAAGAGTCCCTCCTTAGCCAACTATACTGTTGCATTTTGGAATTCTGATATCATTTTCCTAATAAAAATGTTCTCCATAGGAGGTAGTGTGCTGGATAAATAGAATCCTTAAAAAATACCTGATGAAGTAAGTTACCTTAACTATCTGATACAAGGGCCTATATTATTAGTAAATAAAGAAAAACAAAACAAAACTTCCTTACCCACAACTCAAACAGAACACACTTTTTGTGCTTAAATATCACCTACACATGCTCCAGACTTCATCTCGAGATTCCAATTTAGCAGAGTGGGGGTTGGGCCCCCAAGAATTTACAATTTAAAGTATCCTTGGTAATTCTGATGAAGACGACCTTCATCAGAATGATATTTTAGGGAATACTCCACTACCAAAATATCTGGCAGAAAATAACACAGTGTTTCTGGCTTTCTAAGCCTTCCTCTATTAAAAGGATCAAGAGGCTGTCATTAACTTAGTAATATTTACAAGAAAGACCAGTTCTCTTAGCAAGTTTTGAAAATATTTTTGTCCTGTTCTAGCTGCATACAGTTTGTTTATAGTAATTTTTAAAGAACAAGTACCTATTCAAAAGGTTATTTTGATTTTTTTTAACTAAATTTCACTCAATATAAAAAAAAATCAATAAAACACAAAATAGGGAATAAAACTGAATGAAAGATTTAAAAATTCCAGGCTAATTTAAGAAATTTTAAATAGAACAGTGTTCTAACACTAGCACTGGTAGAATATTAAATATCTTAGGATTTATTTTATTAGGTGAAAAATGGTGAAGAAAAAAAATAATTTCTTTAAGAATGTTATTATTTCTTTATTTACTTATAAATTTTGATTGGAGTACAGTTGCTTTGTGGCCCCCCTGGTGGCTCAGATGGAAAGAATCTGCCTGTTGATGCGGGAGACATGGGTTCAGTCTCTGGGTTGGCAAGATCCCCTGGAGAAGGAAATGGCAAATGATTCCAGTATTCTGGACTGGGAAATCCCATGCAAAGAGGGACCCGGTGGGCTACAATCCACAGGGTCACAAAGGGTTGGACATGACTTAGTGACTAAACAACAATAGTTGCTTTACAATCCTGTAACATTAGTTTCTGCTGTCCCACAAAGCGAGTCAGCCATATGTATACATATGTCCCCTCTTTTTTGGATTTCCTTCCCACTTAGGTAACCACACAGCAGTGAGTAGTATGCTACATAAAAAGAAAAAAAAAAAAACTAAATAAATAAATTCTTAAAAATATTTTAGGTGCTCAGTCTTTAAAAAGTACTACAAATAAACTGTATTTAGCTAGACCCAAAGAAACTCTTTATACAAAGAAATCCAAAATATATAACCTTGAATAATTTAAAGGTAGCACATTCTGTGGTTTCCTGACTTTTAATATTTTCAAAGCTTGCTAAGAGAACTGATCTTTCTTGTAATACTACAAATTTAATGACAATCTCTTCATTCGGCAGAAAAAACTGCCTCCAGGTTGCTCATAAAAGCAGTGCCTGGAAACTCTTATTAGTCTTTCCCCCCAAGTCATTTTTTTTTTTTTTTTTCTCAATTCCCTGATAGTTCAGTTGGTAAAGAATCTGCCTGCAATGCAGGAGACCATGGTTAGATTCCTGGGTCGGGAAGATCCCCTGGAGAAGGGAAAAGCTACCCACTCCAATCTTCTGGCCTGGAGAACTCCATGGACTGTCTAGTCCATGGGGTCGCAAAGAGCTGGACAGGACTGAGCGAGTTTCACTTCACTTCACTTTCTCATAATAGTCAGCGATGGGCTCTGGCAATCCCCGGGGAAGAGGACTTACATGGAGGGGTGAAACATGACATCCAGAAGAGGAGTTCAGGAATGCTCCTGGATTATGGTTCAAACAACAAATAATCACTCTCTGGCAGTAACAATACTGTGATAGCAAACTTCTTTGAGCATTTTACTGTCTGTGTCAGGGACTGTTTGAAATGCTATCTATACATGTGTAAATGTGTTCAGTCTTTACTATAAACCTATGAAGTAAGGACTATAATTAATCCCTGTTCATAGATGAGAAAATAGAAGCTTGTTCAATGTCACAAAATTCAAACCCAGCCTGGCTTTGCATCTATAATGACTCAAAATCCTGGAATACAACAAATGAAGGGACAGAGGCAGCTAGAAAAACTATTTTCCCCATTTCAAAATCAGCATTTTTCTCAAAATCAGCATTTTTCTCAAAATCTCAAAAGCCAAATCCCAAACTTAAGACCCAAAATTCTATTTAAAAAATAGACCTCTTGAGGGAGCAGTATACTAAGGCCCTGTCAAAAAGAAAGTGTGCCTGCTAAAAAAATTTTTAAAGCAGCTATTACCACTTCTTAGAGTTTACCTGAACCTCAGGAGTCAGCAAATCCAATTTTCAACCCACTGCAGGAATCTGTCTTTAGCACATCACTGCCTGATGGCCATCTATCCTTTTGTTGAGAGCTTACGACCCTCATGAGGTAGCCCAATTTATTGTTGCATAGGTCTGATTATTAGGAATATTTTTCTTATAGTAAGTAAAAAATCTATGTCCTCATCACATCTACCATCTATAAGAATAAGGGATCTATTTGGGGTCTCTGTAGTCTTTTTCTCCGGGCCTGGACAATTCTGGTTCCTTGAATAGGTTGTAAATATATGGCTTTTAACCTTCCCCTGTCCCTCACCTTTGCTCACTTATCCTCCTGCTTCATTGTGCCCTTCCTGTATACACTGGCTGTTGCAATTACCTTTGCCTTTTAATCAATCTTCCCCCTGCCTTCCCCTCAGTTCTGATACTGTAGTTCAACTTACATTATTCAGCTCAAAGCTTCCACTCAAGGCAAACACAGAGGGTGGATGCATTCTACTCTTCCTTCTGGAGTTAAGGGTGAGAGGCAGTATGTATTCTTGATAACTGAGTATGAAACCCTAAATGCATTTTCTCATCAAAATTTGGGACAAGTGACTTGAAGCAGTTCTACTGGATGAATGCTTTAGTTAAAATAGAATTTAATTAATGTTGGCCTGGAAACTTTATATTTTAATGGAAAAATGTATTCTTACTCAAACTAAACTTACAAAGAAATAATTAGAAAATAGCTAACTGATAAGTAGAAATCTGCTTGTATTTTTAAAAAGATTATAAAATTCTTTGATACAAACATGTGAAGACAGTGTCAGAGAAGGGTGTCATTTTGGCAAGTGAAAAAGCCCTTGCGTTAGAGAAATAATAAATAAAACGGACAAGATTTAAAGACAAAAGATACTTTAAAGTGCGAAGGGTTTTTCTTATTAAGTTATCCCAGAAAACATACCAAATCAATCAGAATTTGCCCTAGGATTTAGGCCTTGTTCAAACACAAAGAGAGTCTCTCCCAACTTTGTGAAGAAATTATATGGTTCCAATGTTCCACTGTTGAAAGAACTTTGAAAAAAAAAATGCCCCAAATTTATTTCCATATTACCCCAAACTTAAAAAAATATATATATGCTAGAACTTTGCTTTTTATTTTGTACCTTTGAGTAAAACTTAAAATAACAGCAAAATGCTACCCACAGTAGGCTCTAATTGTTACTACAATTCTAATTTTAGTTACATATCATAAGTTTTTATTTAAAAAATTTTTTCAGAAAAACTCTACTCAGTTCAGTTCAGTCACCTAGTCGTGTCCGACTCTTTGTGACTGCATGCAGCACCCCAGGCTTCCCTGTCCATCACCAACTCCTGCAGCCTACTCAAACTCAGGTCCATTGAGTCAGCGATGCCATCCAACCATCTCATCCTCTGTCGTCCCCTTCTCCTCCCACCCTNTTCTCATGATGTACTCTGCATATAAGTTAAATAAGCAGGGTGACAATATACAGCCTTGACATACTCCTTTCCTGATTAGGAACCAGTCTGTTGTTCCATGTCCAGTTCTAACTATTGCTTCTTGACCTCTATTATAACTCAATTATATGAAGAGAAAAACTCTATCATATGGCTACAAAAATTATATCAGAAGTGGTAATGGTATTGTATTTTAAAAGATTAATTTGTCATCATTAGAGAAGTTTATAACTGAATTCTTCAACACCCACCTGCTAAACTACCAAATGTGAGTTTCCTGCGGCCCACTTTCTCAACAAGCCAGACACCCACGAGTGTGAAAATGAAATTTGTGAAGGCTGTAACGGAAGCCAGCCATATTGCCAGTCTATCATCTTCAACACCAGACATCTGCAGAATGGTTGCACTGTAGTACCTGTGAGGCAAGAATAAAACAGTTGTTGCTGTTAGTCATTCAAAGAAACACAGTTATTCATATAGAAAAGTATCTATCTGACTAAAACATACCTGGAAGAAATGAAAAATAATATCATGTTAACATGGAAATCATGCAAACCATTTAAAGGATCACAATACAGTGACTATGTCCAGATGAAATTTATAACTTTGTATCGTTAAGAAGAGATACTCAAGCAAGTGAATAGAGGGCTAAAACCTTTAAAAGTTACATGCACTCCATACCTCGGGACAGTGACAGCTGTAGTTTCACTGAAACTATCAAGGAGAAGCTCCCAATTCATGTAATCAGTCAGCAGTCACAATACACTGCAAATGTATGTACTTAACAGAGCAAAGAGAACTGCTACATATCTTAATCTTAAAGAAAGTAAAAATCTGGTACAAGAATTTCGTGAAAGACACAAGAAGAAAGAATATATCAAGTTATCTGGCATCCAGTAAGTGGTAAAGAATCTGCCTGCAAGGCAGGAGACAGGAGAGATGCAGGCTTGATCCCTGGGTTGGGAAGAGCCCCTAAAGTAGGAAATGGCACCCCACTCCAGTATTCTTGCCTGGGAAATCCCATGGACAGAGGAGCCCAGCAGGCTACGTCCATGGGTTTGCAAAGAGTGAGACATGATTGAACACATGGCTGATTGGTATACTAAGGAGATGAGAAACTGACATGATATATACAAAAAGAATGCCTTTCTGGTTCCTAAAAAGGGATGCTCTTTGGTAAGTCTCTAGCACAGTCTGCATAATTAGGTCCTATAGACTCATTTTGTTCCAAATGAATAAACTAGAGAAAGAGAAAGAAAGTGAACTTGCTCAATGGTGTCTGACTCTTTGCAACCCCATGGACTGTAGCTTACCAGGCCGCTCCATCCACGGAATTTTCCAGGCAAGAGGACTGGAGTGGGTTGCCATTTCCTTCTCCCGGGGATCTCCACGACCCAGGGATCAAACCCGGGTCTCCTGCATTGCAGACGCTTTACCATGTGAGCCACCAAGGAAGCCCATACACTGGAGATTGGCTCTATAAATCATAATGCCAACTTGTTGATGCACAATGGGAGATACATCTGGTATGTTTAAGATGATAGGTTTCTCACAGGACATTTCTTTTTTGGGAAAAATATCAGTAGCTATACTAGATTACTTTGAATTGGCCCTTAAAACAAAAGAAGCAAAAATATTCCTGGCAAATAATCTATGAAATGTGACAGAATTCAAATTCTGAAGATACATTCTGAAACACACCTTTTACTGGCTTTCAAGCCATTCCAAAACAAGTTAGCTTTACCCAAATCCAACAGTGGGCATCTAAGCAATGTATTCAATAAACCAAAATATTTCCATAGTTACAGTCTAAAGTTTCTGGATGGTAATCAATGTTTTCATGTGCTGTGCTTAGTCACTCAGTTGTGTCTGACTCTTTGCAACGCTATGGACTGTAGGCTGGATGAATCACAAGCTGGAATCAAGATGGCTGGGAGAAATAGCAACAACCTGAGACATGCACATGACATCACTCTAATGGCAGGCAGAAAGCAAAGAGGAACTAAAGAGCCTCTTGATGAAAGTGAAAGAGGTGAGTCAAAAAGCTAGTTTGAAACTCAACACTCAAAAAATGAAGACTATGGCATCTGGTCCCTAAATAGAAGAGAAAGATTGGAAGCACTGACAAGACTTTCTTTTCCTGGGCTTCAAAAATCACTCTAGATGGTGAATGAACCAAGAAATCAAAAGACACTTTGCTCCTTGGAAGGAAAGCTATGACAAACCCAGACAGAGTATTAAAAAGCAGGCATCACTTTACCAACAAAGGTCCATATAGTCAAAAGGTATGCTTTCAAATAGTGGTGATAGTGAAGACTCTTGAGAGTCGACTCTTGAGAGTCCCGTGGATTGCAAGGAGATCAAATCAATCAATCCTAAATATTCATTGGAAGGACTGTTGCTAAAGCTGAAGCTCCAATCCTTTGGTTACCTGATGTGAAGAGCTGACTCTTGGAAAAGATCCTGATGCTAGGAATGATTGAAGGCTAAAAGGAGAAGCAGGTGGCAGAGGATGAGATGGTTAGACAGTATCACCAACTGAATGGACATGGATTTGAGCAAACTCTGGGAGATAGTGGAGGACAGGGGAGCCTGGCAAGCTGTAGTCCATGGGATCGCCAAGAGTGGTACATGGCTTAATGACTGAACATCAAGAAGAAACAACTTATTTACAATTGTTATATTGTACATATATATGGATGGATGGATCTTTTTGGATCCATCCTTTGGTCATTATGCAGTATCCTTTATTATCTCTTAGAATAGTCTGTATTTTAAAGTCTATTTTGTCTGATATGAGTAGCACTATTCCAGCTTTCTTTTGGCTTCCATTTGCATGGAATACTTTTTGCCCTCCCCTAACTTTCAGTCTTTATGTGTCCCTTGATCTGAAGTAGGATGAGATGGTTAGACAGTATCACCAACTGAATGGACATGGATTTGAGCAAACTCTGGGAGATAGTGGAGGACAGGGGAGCCTGGCAAGCTGCAGTCCATGGGATCGCCAAGAGTGGGACATGGCTTAATGACAACATCAAGAAGAAACAACATATTTACAATTGTTATATTGTACATATATATGGATGGATGGATCTTTTTGGTTCCATCCTTTGGTCATTATGCAGTATCCTTTCTTATCTCTTAGAATATTCTGTATTTTAAAGTTTATTTTGTCTGATATGAATAGCACTATTCCAGCTTTCTTTTGGCTTCCATTTGCATGGAATACTTTTTGCCCTCCCCTAACTTTCAGTCTTTATGTGTCCCTTGATCTGAAGTGGTTCTCTTATAGACAGCATATATATGGGTCTTGATTCTGTATTCATTCAGCCAATCTATGTCTTTTGTTTGGTGCATTTAATCCATGCCTATTTAAGATAATTATTGATATGTATGTTCACGGGATGTGAGGGACATGAAGATCCGCTGATTTGAGTATCTGTGGGGGTCCTTGAATCTCCTATGGAAAACTGAGGGAGGGACAACTGTATTTCATTGTTTTCATTTTTGACACAATAAAAGCATGAAATTGCATGTGTTAAATTAATGGCTACAAATAGGAGTAGTATCAAACAAAGTAAGTTAGTATCAGAATTTTATTTAAAATGCAAAATGTGTCCTAGGTGTGTAAAATAATTTTTTATGTTACTTAAATTTATAGAGGCAGAATATAAGTAAAACCTGGCCTGGGAATCATAAACCATTATTTTTAAAGATATGGCTGATTCATGTTGATGTTTGGTAGAAACCAACACAATACTGTAAAGCAATTATCCTTCAAATAAAAATAAACACATTTAAAAAAAAAAGACATCTCTGTAGTGTGCTGGCCAGATCAGATAACACACTGTTCAGTTAGTATTTACGTATTGAGGACATACTATTAATATATGTGAATTCCCACAGAGGTATTGTTAGATCCAGCTTCTGCCCTAAAGAAGCTCCCATAAAAGAATGACATGGAAAGAAATAATTTTGATATTGCAAGGTACATAAATCACAATGTAGCATTAAAGGACAGACCAAATTATTTCCCTTTATAAAGTTCCTTGATTTTCCAGGAAATTTAATGCTTGAGTTAAGTTTTGAAGAATTCCCAGGGAGTTTCCGGCACATGCAATGATCTAGAAGGACATTGGTGGTAAAGGAAATGATGTGTAGGAAGGGAAAATGTACAAAATACCATGCTGGATTCATACATGAAAAGTATGTTACCATGGCTGAACATAAGAAGGTTCAAAGGAAAGAGAAGTATGACAGAAGGCTTCGGTAGAACCTTTTGTTATAGAGGGGCCTTGAGAGCCATGCTACATGTTTGGATTTTATTCTGCTGGGAATGGAGAACCATAACATGGACTGTGAAGAGAAACAATAAACAATTAAGTTTGTTTTGTGAAAAGATCACTCTAACTACAGTAAAGTGTACAGGCTAGATGCAGAACTAAGCAAGGGTGAATAGTTTAAAGTATTTTTCAGGTCATTACATTAGATAGAGTACCCTGTAGATTTTCCATATTAATGTGAAACCCTGAGAGTAAAGGCTGAAATTCAGTGACCGTCTTTTATCTTCCTGTCAGCAAGCCTTGCAACTTTAACCCACACTAAATCTTTCTTTGGATGGACTGTCTTGAGTTTTCATCTTCATTTTTCTTTCTCAAACCCTGGTAGATGTATTAGATTTTATTGCTGCCATAACAAATTACTACAATCACACTGGCTTAAATCAACATAAATTTATTGCCTAACAGGCTTATAGGTCAGAAATCTGACACAGATTTTATTGGGCGTCAAGAATCAAAGGTGTCAGCTGGGTATTCCTTTCTAGAATCTCCAGGGGAAATAGATTTCTTTGCTGTTTTTTGCTTTTAATGTCTTCCACATGCTGTGGCTTGAGGACCCCATTTCCTCAAGGTTCAAAGCCCACAAAGGTGGGTCCATGCAGTGCCTTTCAGGTCCCTTCACTCTGAGACTCCTTTCTCCTTTCCCTGCATATAAAGACCTCTCTGATTACACTAGATCAGTTCAGATAAATAGGGTAATCTCCTTACCTTAAGAGAAACTGATTAACAGATTTAATTTGATCTACTACCTTAATTTCCCTTTTCCGATTAATGAGAAATATTCACAGGTTGTTTATGACATGTGCATGTTTGGAGGGGATTACTCTATTACTCTATTACATAAATGAGCTAATGAACAGTAAAATAAGGAAAAGGCCAACAGTTAGAATGAGAAGGTGAGGAATAAAGGTAAGAATATTTACTTAAAGGATAATCAGTTCCAAAAGAATTCATATAATAGCAATATTTCTTTTCACAGGACTCTTTCAAGGGCAGGGGATGACATACCTAGGTCAGAATAATTTACGAACCTAGTTTTCAAAAGTCAGATCATGTATTGATGAAATGACACATT